ATTCTAATTTTTATCTCCTTGCTGGTGCTTAACCATAGACTTTTAAGGCTGTTCAATCTTTACAAGGATAACATGTATATTAAATAAAATACTTTACGTAGCAAAGATTTTCTTCTTCTTCTTCTTCTTTTTCTTCCAACTCCTCCTTCTTCTTTTTAATCTTCTTCTTCTCTTCGACCATTCGCCTCAGCTAGGTGTTGGGGTAGGGTGGGCAGGGGGAAGATGTATGGATCGTTTATGCGCTTTTTCCCCAATGTATTGTACAAGCTGGTGTTTATTTCTGTTAGGTTGCCTTCTTGTAGTAAGCACTGCTCGCTCCAGTTCGATGTTCGTTCACCAGCCTTCTTGTAGTGAGCACTGCTTGCCCCAGTGGGATGTTCGTTCGCTAGTCTTCTTGTAGTGAGTACTGCCCGCTCTAGTTCGATGTTCGTTTTTTAGTCCTCGTGTAGTGAGCACTGCTCGCCCCAGTTCATTGCTGGTTTACCAGTCTTCCTGTAGTGAGCACTACTCGCCCAAGTTCGATGTTCCTTCGCCAACCTTCCTGTAGTGAGCACTACTCGCCCAAGTTCGATGTTTGTTCACCAGCCTTTTTGTACTGGGCAACTGCTCGCCCAAGTTTGATGTTCGTTCACATGTCTTCTTATACTGAGCACTACTCGCCCATGTTCGATGTTCGTTCACCAACCTTCCTGTAGTGAGCACTGTTCGCCCCAGTTCGATGTTCGTTCACCAACCTTCCTGTAGTGAGCACTGTTCGCCCCAGTTCGATGTTCGTTCACCAACCTTCCTGTAGTGAGCAGCTGCTCGCCCAAGTTCGATGTAGTTCACCCGTATTCCTGTAGTGATCACTACTCGCCCCAATTCGATGTTTGCTCACCCGCCTTCTTTAGTGAGCACTGCTCGACCTAGTTCATTGCTGGTTCACCAGTCTTCATGTAGTGAGCACGACTCACCCAAGTTCGATGTTTGTTTACCAGTCTTCTTATAGTGAGGGCTTGTCGCCCCAGTTCAGTGGGGCTGAAGCCTCAAATTCACAGAAGGAGATGACAGATCTAAACCTGCACAATGAGAGGACACGACCTAGCCGGCCAGATAGACACACATATTATGGCGGCCAAAAAACACACCCTAACAGGGTCTTAGCCACATGTAAACTGCGGACTTCTGCTGCCACCGCAGAAAGTATTTCCCACACAGCTAGGCAGAAAAGTCCCAGTCATCTAGTTTAGCCCCGCTCCACGCCGCCCGCTGCGTGGTCTCGAGGCATGGTGTCTGCCTTGAGTGCTAGAGGTCCTGGGTTCAAACCCCAGTGAAGGTTGGAATTTTTTCACGTGGACTTCTAGTAATTTCCTCGGTCTCTGGTAGTAAGAGCGGACGCCATTGTGTATTGTTGCGCACGTAAAAAATCTCTTGGCAGCTGGAAATCAAAAGAGTAAGTAGCCTAACGTCGCTGCCCAGACAAAATAAGGAGTTAAAAAACTACACAAAGTATTTTAGGATCCTCGCCGGCGCATCAGAGTTCGTGCACTGCGCTAATAAACCTCAGACACAGGCTCGAGTTAGAAGAAGAACGAAGCACGTATGGGTTAAACTCGTGTGCGATGATGCTGATCCGCTGAATAAATATAAACGATTACAGAGACTGGGGATGTAGATGAAAACTCTTTTTTTATTACGGAACGACATTGAAGCGGAAATCTCCTTCAACCATGAACTTTGACACGTACATCTTGGTAATCTTGGTCACAGTTGAAAAACATTCTAAATGAATTCCGCAGCTCAAAGTATCACACCATGCACTCAACTCAGAAGCTGGGCGACGAAACTATATTGTTTCAGTTTACAAATGAAGCAAAAATGCAATGGCCACCGTCTGGCATAAGCAACAAATTTTCCACGACTCAGAACAGTGACCGTGCCTAGAGTCCATTTAGACCGGCTTTTGGTGGGGATAAATGCCTACCACAGTGTAGATACACATACTTGTCTGGACATCACCGACTAACAGCATTTATTGGCTGTTAACTGGTCTTAAGATGAAAGCAGCAGCAGATGGCATCATATGATATTTAATGCAACATAAGTAAAGGATTCATTTCCACGATTTCAGGCTACTGTACATATAGTATAAAAAAAAAAAAAGGATTCTTTTCCACGCCTTTATGCGTATAGGACATATAGGGCTAGACCTATATTTTATAGACCAATCGGCTCTTGGTGGGTGATGTTATCAATACCGCTCCAGTCACCTTTAGTTTCCAGTAGGGCTGTACCAAATATTCACTTCGGGGCTGAATAGTGGACTTATTGACTATTTGGTATTCGGCCGAATAGTTATGGTCGGGCTGAATATGAATAGTAGTTATCTTACACCCACTTCTGCATACACAGCCTTAATGCGGACAACATGGAACGATTGGTTTTGTTGAAAGCTAATGCAGCTTTCCTGCATTAACTAAGCTGTCAGTGACAATTTCCAAGTTTAGTTACTTGTTATAATACTTAGGATTCTTTCAATCCTAGTTATTAGCTACCACAGACTGACTGAAGGATGCAGAACATAAAATGTTTTTAAATGTTTACTGTTCTGTACGAATACTAACTAGACATGGAAAGAATATAAACTCCGGACACATACAAGTTGATAATATGAAAATCAAACGAACGAAAACATAAGTACTTGGGTGCAAACTTCAACTGTTCCAACATGCTGAGAGAAGAAATACAATCTAGAAATAAAGTGTACTATGCCCTTCAACATTTGCTAAAGTCAAAGTGTCTGTCTCGCAACACCAAGATCAAAATATATAATAGCCAAAGAGATGAATGGAGACGAGGGATATCTGCAGCAGTAAACCACAAGGGCTCAGAATGCTAAAGAAGAAGATGACTATTCTGTGCTACTTTATGTAAAGTAAAAGTTCAGAGTACATTTGACATTATAAATGTGTGTTTTTCAGATGTGTTATACACTATACACTTTTCGTATTCGGCCGAATCACTATTCGGTATTTCGCTACTAGAAAAATTCTCAGAATATCTTGGATAAAGAAGAGGAGAAATACTGACATCTTGAAACATCTGAACATCAAGGAAGAATGGCTAATAAACAGCATCCTGTCTCGGAAGCTAAATAATTTTGGTCATATCAAGCGCCACGACGGATTGGAAAAAATTATAGCAGAAGGCATGGTACCAGGAAGGAGGGGCAGGGGCTGACCGACATGAAGATGGGCACAGGATATAAGTGACTCCTTGGGTATGAAAGTACATGAGGTTGGAGAACTGGCGAGAGACCGAGTTTCTTTCAGGCAGACTGTGATGAGAGCGATGTTCTGCAAAGGACCTGATGATAGAGACAGTAAAAATATTGGGGATGACACTAATGACATCACTTGTAATGAAGCAAGTCTATTTAGAAAGTACTGGCAAAAGTCAAGAGAACCCCCAACTTGTAAATTCAGTGAGTAGGAAGAAAACCAGACGTGAAAGTCCTAACAGATTAAAACACAATTTTTACAATGTAATTTCCCCAGGTGGGTTCGGGGGCCCTATTATAGGGAAAAGAAGAATATGCCCACTGCCTACCCAAAAGCATGTCGTAAGAGTCGACTAATTGGGAGCTTCCCCTTCGAAGTCAGAGTGCATCTTATTGAGAGGCAAGGAACCAGCAGTCTGCATACAAATGAGTCAGGTCTGTAAAACGGATACACACGCAACACTCAAGTTCTCAAACAGGACTGCAGTCCAGAAGTGAATGAAACCAGAACTTTCCGCCAGAGTTTAGAACTGGTGAATGCGAAGAAGACAATGTAACTAACCTAGGGTTAGACTTATTGTTCCATTTGACTAATCCATTAAAATGTTTTAAAAATTGCTTGCTACATACATCCAGTTTTAACATATGGATGTGAATCCTGGACAATCGGTAGGCAGGCCAAACAATTTTTAGAGGCCTCAGAGATGTGGTTTTACAGAAGAATGCTTAGAATACCTTGGACAGCCAAAAAGAGCAACCAAGAGGTTTTAAAAGAGACGGGAGCCCGAAGACAACTTATCACTGACATCAGAAGGAGACAGTCATCATTTTTCGGCCATGTTATGAGAAGAGGGAAAATAGAACATGTTGTGACCACTGGAAAGATCTGTGGAAGGAGGGATAGAGGAAGACAACGAGAGAAGATGCTTGACAGTCTTGTTGCATGGCATGGAGGTGTGTCGGCACACGAACTGATGCATGCTGCAGGAGATCGCGGATTATGGAGAGGCATGATCGCCCACACCAGTCGGCAAGGCACCTGATGATGATTAAAATGTTCATATCTCATGTCTTTTTTTTTGTACTTTCTCAGCTTATTATCTAGATGTCACAGGATGGCTGGCAGCATGGGGATATGATATTTGTTTCTCCATCTGTCTCTCTGGCTGTGATTGATGATAATAAAGACAGGCTGCATGTCATTTAACAATTCTCAATAGCCATCACCCTGCACTCAACAATCATGCTCAACTTAAACAAGATTTCCTGTTTTACAAACATTTGAAAGAGAATAAGTGTCTAGTCTCACTACCCAAGAGACTCAAGTTCATGTGATACCATTAAAAAACATTTGTGACAATGTCCAACTCTATGCTTGGATTTGAACCTGGTATTTTCTGAGCTTGAAAAGAAACTTGTAGCCTCACAACCATGCCTTCCCGTAAAATAATTCAACATTCATAAATTGAAAAAAAAAATACCACACAACATTTTGTTAATACAAATGTTTCCTTTATTGTCCTAATTTAATTGTGGAATTACTAATAATACTCATTAAATTCATACTCTAAATTCCTTTTTGCTTACAAGAGCAACAATTAAAATTTAAAAAAAAATGTTGCACACATGCCATAAGGCAGCACAAACATCATTAAACATATACGTACATTAATCTGCAACAGACCATGTCAATATCGAAACAAAAATGCTTCTCAATGTACAAGTGCTAACAATTATCAGTTCATGCCTGGGGTGGCTTTGGCTGAAGATCTTCTGAGTACAACTTGGGTAACTTCAGACCAACTATCTCAGCGCTGCTCTCAATGCTTCGCTCACCTCTCCCCCTGTACAGGTTACTAAGTTCCTAGGAGAATAATGAAACAAATAACATTTGAAACAGTTAATAATTTCATTTTCTGTCTCTTTTTTTAAAGTAAACACATTCAGAATCAATCATGATTAGTAATTGTTGATAGCTCAGTAACAAATACTATCCTTTTTGCACAAACCATACTTTGGGGGGTCTCCATGCCGAAGTGGTCAAGCATTTGCCTCGAGCTCTAAAGGGCGTGGGTTTGTTTCATGGGTGCGCCATCCGGTTCATAAGTGCAATTTATACGATCCCTGGGGATTATCAGCGGAGCTATGGAGTTCGTGCTATGTGTGACACTCTCGACAGGTGGCTAGTCAGGCTGTGCAGAAAGAGCAAGCAATATGGAATAAAACCTGGTGCAATGAAGTCGATCCTCTGACTTTAACATTCAACCTCAAGCCATACCTAATATTCATCAGCTTATCAATAAAGGTAGGGTGATCATACATCCTATTTTCAGCAGGACAGTCTAGTTTTTCAGGTGTTCAGCCGCCTTGACAGTACTCCAAACAACAACAACAAATTTTCCCCATTTAAAAAAAAATAATCCAGGAGTAAACTCAAAAATAGAACATGCAATTACTTATAGTTACATCTTTAGATCTCATTAGATTTCACAGCTTTATATATTTTTAATGCCTGAAATGTGTTGATCAGAATTTTTACTGCAGCATGTTTTTTTCACTAGTTAAAAAGCATATTGCTCCATTCATTTATTTCTTAAAGGCAATGTTATAGTTTTAATACCACTGTCGAGCGAAATAACAAACACACTGGTCAGAAGCAGCAGTGACATGGTACAATTAAATAGTGACTTGGCACCAGAAAATGCTGAGCATGTGCTCCAGTACTGTCAACTGTATGCTGCCAATAGAGACGCTGGCCTGTTTCAACCACAGGGAATTATTATATTCAGTTTTTAGTGTAGTATGCAACCGACAAGATAGAGTAAAAATATGCCGGCCAAAAATTGTGCAATCTATGTCTGTGTCGTCGTCGTTACAATTATGATGAGGAAATAACTGCAAAATGTTACAGGATGACGATAGCTGTTCTGTAAAGTTACCCATGAAAGCAGGACAAAAGGAATAAACCACACAAACCTCTTGTTTTCTTGTGCTTTCTAAGTAGCAAAGGTAGGTTCGTGCAACATATTCAACTTCATGCTGAGCTCTGCAAATTTTCTCTCCCGTCACTTGAAAACTACGTAGCTGATCATGGAGGTAAGCATAAGCAGGTACCTCACTGAGTTTCTCCTAGGGTGAAAAAAAAGCTATATATTTATTATTTCATATTTACATTTAAGATTAAAACAAACTGGCTATATTTTCATTTCACATTTACTTACCAACACACAAAATTAGAATTACATTAAATTGTAAACTAAACCCCATCGATATGAGGTCCTAAAAATTTGGTTTAAAGGTGCAAACAAGAAAGACAAAGATAATGGATAAAACAAAATCATATCCAAGCTTTCCTCTGTGAAACCTCACTTAAGATATGGAATCATTCACTTATCTGTCTAAGAACAGAACACTGCACATACATAAATTAAAGTATGTACAGTCCCCACAGTGTGCATGTCAGATGGGACCACAAACACCTGAGCACATTCTGTAGACCTGTCCACTACACTTACAACTACGAAGAAAAACCTGACCTCAAGAGCAAAGTGTGCAGAGCAAGATATGGGGAACCCTGAAGGACTTGCAGCTGAGGCAGCCCATCTGATTTACCATAAGAAACTGAATGCAAAGAAGAAAAGAAGAATCACTTTATCTTCTTCAGCGTTCCAAGCCCTTGAGGTTCATTGCTGCAGATATCACCTGCCTCCATATATCTCTGGTTGGTCTTCTCTTTCCAGTTTGTGACACCAAGTGTTTGCAGGTCTGTCTGGATATTATCTCTCCATCGTCTTCTTGGTCTGCCTCGTGAGATACAACCATTCATCTCCCTTGTGTATAGTTTTACCTCTCTGTCATCTCACATTTTCTCAATATGCCCCAGTCATTTGAGTCTATTAGACCTCAAGATGCCAGTGATCAATGGTGATTTAAACAGATTATTTAAAAAAAAAACAAAGGCCAGAGGAGCTTACTCTGCACAGGAAATTTATGGAAGTTAAAAATGTCCAAAGATAACATCAAACTTTAAACAAATCTAAGGTTGACTTCATCGCATTGAGTTTTATCCCATATGGCTTCATCTCTCTCCCCAGAACACCTAGCCGCCTGCCGAAAGCATCATACAAAGCACAAACTCCATAGCTCTAGTGGTGATCCCAAGGGATCTCCACAGAAAATGCACTCGTGAAATTAAACAATGACCTTCAAAACGTGAGGCAAACTATTTTAACCACTTCGCTGCAGAGACTTACAAAAAAGAAACTTCAAATATTTAATTCTAACTTCCCCTGTGGGTTCCAGGATCCACTGTAGGTTTAAAAAAAAAAAAGAGCCCCACACACAATTTGCTAACAAGTATATAGTAAGTAGTGACTAATTAGGAGTTTGCAACAATCTGATGTAGGTTTGCTAGGGCCGAATGTTACAGATATCATAGCCCAGCTGTATACCACAACACAACATGCCAACTCACAAACTGCCTTTTTTAAGGACAAAAATAGCAGAAGAAGAAAATAATAATATCTCAACTCTGCTGTGTAAAACAGAAACACTGAGATTGACTAAAACAATTATTAATAGCAAAGATAAGCATTCACTTAATAATCATGCCATTTCTTTGCAAGAAAATAACTAAAAATCTTAGTAAAATTGTCTCACAGAAGGAACAGTGCAGAGCTTATACAGACAGAGCTAGATACATGCTAGTTAATCACAGGAAACAGACAGATCATTACAGCCTGAGGAGAATGGCACTGTGAGGAGTTACAAGGGGATCTGGCCGACGCTCGACACTCGGGGAAAAGGCGAGACGGATATACAATCAGAGAGTTACTGGTACCATCTGAATGTAACTCTTCACTTGCTGTTGAGGATGGGGACAGAGCACTTATGGGGGTGTCCCAAGTGCTGTGATGTTGATTCTCAACTGAATTAATAATTAAACATTCAACAACATTCACAGGGTAGTAAGGAAAAAAAGTTAAGTCGGAATAAAACACATACTGAGACACTTCAGAAACCCTGACAATAGTGTACTGTAAGTAAGTTACTAGAATTAGAAAACAAAGCCTTGTGTGTGTCTAGTCATCACAACAACTCGGGGCAAAAGAAAAAGTGGTTATCTTCCGAATAACGGTCCCAAATTATTGAGGCTGAAAATATACCCTAACAGGGACTCAGTCACATGTCAATTGCGGAATTACGCCACTGCTGAGAGTATCTCCCACGCCGCTACGCGCGACGTGGAATGGGGCTAAACTAAATGGCTGGGACTCACGAGCAGATAGAATGAAGGAAGCTGCAGGAGATGCTGTAGCTGCTGATCTTGGGTCCCAGCCATCTAGTTTAGCCCAATCCACGATGCGTGTAGCGGCGTGGGAGATACTCTCGGCGGTGGCGGTAGTCACCGGAAGTGCGTAATTTAAGGCGTTGGAAGTCCGCAATTGACATGTGACTGAGACCCTGTTAGGGTTTATTTTCGGCCTCGATAATTTGGGACCATTATTCGGAAGATAGCCGAAAAAGTAAACTGATGCCGGTAAACAGATTATTTACATTAAAAGTTTGGCTCTCCTAGCAGATTTGGCCGGCAAGTAGGTCGGCTTCGGTCGGCGTAGTGGGAGGTTTTCCCTTGGCCGCACTCACAACGACGAGCGGAAAAAGTCACGACTCAAACACGACAGTGAGGTCGACATCAGGGCTGCCAATGCTTGGTTGTGTCCCCCAGACCTGGGTTTTTCTTTTGACGCTGCAGGAAAATCTGGGTTTTTTTCTTTTCTGTGTGTCTGTCTGTGGGTGTTTTGCCGATCTGTGAGCTTTAATGACCGATAAATTTGCGTGGTTAGGGGTTGGGTTAGGGTTAGCGGTAGGATTAGGGTTAGGATTAGCGTTAGGGTTAGGGGTAGCGTTAGGGTTACAGTTAGAGATAGAGTTAGGGGTTAGGGTTAGGGGTAGGGTTAGGTGTAGCGTTAGATGTGTTAGTAGTTCCCTATAATCGTGCACAGTCGCATGCACGCGCAAACAGTTGACGGACGGTGGAACACTACTGACACGGACAATTCGCCACCGATTGGGCACCAGCCGCGCGCTATTGCCGTCATATTTGCCACACGTCCAGTGGCGCCACTCCCACAAACATCAGATTGTCGGCCAGTATTTCGACCTCTTACGTGAAAATTTTCACATCTAACCCTAACCCTACCGCTAACCCAAACCCTAAGCAACCCTACACACAACCGTAGGACGATGATAGACACCCTACACAGCCCTACACGCAACCTTATGATGATGATAGACACCCTACGCAGCCCTACGCGCAACCGTAGGATGATAGGTAACCCTAGACGCAACCCTACACGCACCCGGATGATGGTAGGTAACTATGTCATTTGATTCGTGACTTTTTCCAATACTTGTTTTGAGTTTGGCGAAGGGACATAACTCCCATAACTCCCACTAAGCCGGCCCACGCCGTCTAGCTTGCCGGCCAAATCTGCTAGGAGAGCCAAAAGTTTAATACGATTCACCATTGTTGCTCTTACTATTACTATGTATTACTACTATTACTTTGCAAGTTTACGTAATGTAGTAGCAGTGGTGGACCACTACAGTATTTAAACTTTAAATGAAATGAGAAATCGTCACTTTCACGTGCAAGTGTAAGTGAAGGATATAGTTAAAGTCAGGTCAATAAAGAAAAAAATGTTGACTTGTTTATAGGGACCACATTTTCGGAAATTTGCTATCTTTTCAACAATTTCCGTTACCATAGAAACCGTTTAAAACTTGTTTCGGAAATGTCGGCTGGGGTTTCGGGATGGGTCCTAATCTCTCATGAAATTTTGCCATTGGTGTGATTTTCACCCACTCTAAATAGCTGAAAACGGCGGGAAGGAACCCGATTAACAGCGCATGTCTACGACAGCCGGACATTCTCTGTTTTTCTGTTAGTCTATCAGTTTGATTGAAAATAGCGGTAAATTCGAGGTTGGCTTTAGGCTTAAACATTACCAGTTGTGGTAATGCTAGTTACAATTGAATTCTCCGTCCAATTTTACATTTGCATATTAAATTTTTTTTCCAGACTCTGGCTGTTTAGATTTACAGTGACATTTTTTAGGCAATCACATGCGGCTGAGTGAGCTGAGTCTCACTGCCTGCCATCTTGTCCAATGACAGTCCAATGTCAACAAAGCCGATACAGAACTGCGCAGTAGGTTGCGCAGTAAAAAACTTCTTGTTTCTGGGTCACAAGTTTTAGCGGCTTTTTACATCTTATCTCCACAAAAACCTACATATCTCAGCTCAGAAATGACATACAAGCCTAAATGAGGTACCATTGGAAAGAGATTGTTTACAGCTATCTAACTGTGCTGGTTTTATTGGTGTAGAGGGCATTTTAAAAATTTGACTGAAGTAGCTATTGTTTACAAAACAGTCAGTCTAGACCAGATAGATCTAAAAGGGAGGGCAATCAAAATTATCACACATTAAAAGGAAAAATTATATAAAAAGACATACAGGTGGAGAAACATAACTCTTAGGGTAAGCAAGTGCAACCTGTTTATAAATGGCCTTCAGCTCCCTAGCTAGCGACCTCAAAACTCTGGATGGGGTAGACAACGACGCCATGTTGTTCTCTGGCTTCTGCGTTTCCACTTCCGGAGGTCAAATATAAGAACTGGGAGGGGTGTAGGTTGGATGAAGGTCAACCGATTACTTATGTTACTGCGCGTGTACGAGGGCGCAAAATGTTGAAAAAGTTCTTTAAAATAGTCAATGCCGTGCAGGGGCGCCATAATCTAAACCCTTCTCTTCAATAGAACATTTGTATCCACAACTCATACACAATTAACTACAGGTCATAGACGCCAGAACCTAGAGGCTTAGGTCCATCGAGTTGCCCCCACTCCCAATTTGTTTTCAATGAAGCTCCCCTCCCCCCCCCCCCCCCCCGATAATTTTGTAAGGGAACTTGGAAGCTAGCCCCCCCCCCCCTTTTTCCCCCTTTTTGCAATACTTCTTCCTTATCTACTAAAAAAAATACATTCCACAAATAACAGTCGTTCACAGAAAAATGAATACACGAAACGAAGACTTTCGAGGTCAGGAGAGTGGTATATTCCTCCATTCTCGATCGGACGGCAGCCTTTACCAGGCTCGTACATTGAAGGCCAAAAACCAGGATAAGAAAGGTACTTATCAGAGAGCTGCTGTTTGCAGATGATGCAACAATTACGACCCACTCAGGGAAGGAGATGCAATGTTTACCGTCTGCATTTGCTAATGCATGCTGTGAATTTGGACTGCACGATTGGCACCTTTCCGTCTTTCCAGACGATAGTGTTATATTGGACTATGAAGAGGCATGGGACACAGCGTATGGCGAGTTTGACTAGTAAGACCCGCCCGCATTAAGAAAAGTCTTCCACAATTATAGCATGAGAATTCAGGACCATTGTTAATAACATTTGTGTTTAGTCTGTTTCTTCTTAGACGCTCAGCTCTCATTATTTCTAGAATCGTTTATTCTTCGTTTATTCTCATTCCTGTTCTGCGGTGACCCCTCCACACAACACCGTTAATATTATTTTGTTCCCACGAGTTGACTTCAATACCCGCATCATTCATGTCCCGCTTGCACGCGTCTTTATATCGTAGTAGAGGTCAGCCTCGACATCGTCTACCTTTCTTTAATTCATAAAAAAAAGGATGTCCCTAGGGACTCCACCATTCTCCATTCTCCAGGTTTGACCCCTGTGAAAGGGTCGTTCGACGCGCCCCCCCCCCCCCCCCCCATAAAAAAAAATTGTTGCGACCGGCAGTTTAAGAATAGCTGGTCTAGAAAGACGGAAAAGTTCCACTCATGAATGTCAAGGGGGAAAAAACACATAACCATGGGTGGAAAAATGCATGCGCACACTCGCACACGCACACTCACACACACACCCATTCACACACATACGTACACACACATACATTTAAATATATATACACACCCACATACATACATAACAAAAACATGTATACACACACTCATACACATACACATTCATACATACATATATACCTATATACCTACATACCTACATACCTACATACCTACATACCTACATACCTACATACCTACATACCTACAGACACACAGACCTACAGACACACACAGACACACACAGACAAACACAGACACACACAGACACACACAGGCACACACAGGCACACAGACACACACACACACAGACACACAGACACACACACACACACAGACACAGACAGACAGACAGACAGACAGACAGACAGACAGACAGACATAACTATTCGGTATTCGGCCGAATAGTTGCGGTCGGGCCGAATACGAATAGTGGTTACCTTACACCCGTTCCTGGACCGGTAGAAATTAAACATATCAAGATTTCCCACGTTGGTTCATACTGTCCAGCGTTGTCTCTGTGCACCACCTACAAGCGTAGCAAGTGAACGTCTGTTTAATAAATCTGGAAATACCTTCAGTGAGACAAGAAACTGCCTTAATGCTTAATGCTGACAACATGGAACGATTTTTTATGTGTGGAAAGCTAATGCCGCTTTCATGGATTAATTAAGCTGTCAGTGACAATTTACAAGTTTAGTTACTTGTTATAAAACTAAGAATACTTTCACTCCTATGTATTAGTTTCCACAGGCTGACTGACTGAAGAATGCAAAATATGAAATGTATTAAATGTTTACTATTCTGTACTACATTTTGTGAAGTAAAATGTCAGCGTACATTTGACATTATGGATGTTTTCTTTTTAGATCTATTTAATACACGAAAGTGGAAGAATGGGCCTCAGTTTGAACAGTGGGAAGACAGAAGTAATGGTGGTATCAAAGAAAATAATTAATCCTAAATGTGTAATAAACGTCAATGGTTTTATTTTGGGACAAGTACGGTAATTTTAGTATCTGGTCACATGGATAACATCAGATAGAAGATGCATTGCTGAAATAAGAAACAGAATAGGACAGGCAAAAACTGAATGTTATAAAATGAAGAACATCTTATGCAATATATCTTTGTCATTGAAGGTTATAACAAGAATTCTTGCTTGCTACATTCATCCAGTGTTAACATATGGCTGTAAGTCCTGGACAATCGGTAGGCAGGCCAAACAATTTCTTGAACTTCAGAGATGTGGTTTTACAGAACAATGCTTAAAATATCATGCATAGTGAACGAACATCGAACCGATGCGAGCGGTGCTCACTACAAGAAGGCTGGTGAACGAACATCGAACCGAGGCGAGCGGTGCTCACTACAATGAGACTAGTGAACGAACATAGAACTTGGGCGACCGGTGTTTACTGCAAGAAAGCTGGTAAACCAGCAATGAACTGGGTCGAGCAGTGCTCACTACAAGAAGACTAGTGAACGAATATCGAACTGGGGCGAGCGGTGTTTACTGCAAGAAGGCTGGTAAACCAGCAATGAACTGGGTCGAGCAGTGCTCACTACAAGAAGACTGGCGAACGAACATCGAACTGAGGCGAGCGGTGCTTACTACAAGAAGGCTGGTAAACCAGCAATGAACTGGGTCGGGCAGTGCTCACTACAAGAAGACTAGTGAACGAACATCGAACCGAGGCGAGCGGTGCTCAGAGATGTGGTATTACAGAACAAGAAACCAAGAAGTTTTGATAGAGGCGGGAGCCCGAAGACAATTTCTCACAGACATCAGAAGGAGACAGTCTTCATTTTTCGGCCATGTTATAAGATGAGGGAAAATGGAGCATTTGGTGACCACTGGAAAGATATGTGGAAGGAGGGATAGAGGAAGAGAAGATTCTTACAGGCAGACGGACGGACGGACGGACGGACGGGCGGGCGGGCGGACGGACGGGCGGACGGACGGACGGACGGACGGACGGACGGACGGACGGACGGACGGACGGACGGACGGACAGACAGACAGACAGACAGACAGACAGACGGACAGACGGACAAACGGACAGACGGACAAACGGACAGACAGACAGACAGACAGACGGACAGACGGACAGACGGACAGACGGACAGACAGACAGACAGACAGACAGACAGACAGACAGACAGACAGACAGACAGACAGACAGACAGACAGACAGACAGACAGACAGACAGACAGACAGACAGACAGACAGACAGACAGACAGACAGACAGACAGACAGACAGACAGACAGAGGCAACGAGCATTGATGCCAGAGGCCTAGGGTGCTGGTTTGGATTCTATTCATGACATCAAAAACGTTACAAGGGTATAACAGGATGGCTGTATAGACGGCGAGCTCTAACTCCCGTATAAAACGGGGACAACAGACAATGACGATAACATTTATGATAGCGGTGATCATAGTAGTGACGAAAACATTTATGATAGCGGTGATCATAGTGGTGACGATAACATTTATGATAGCGGTGATCATAGTAGTGACGAAAACATTTATGATAGTGGTGATCATAGTAGTGACGATAACATTTGTGATAGCGGTGATCATAGTAGTGACGATAACATTTATGATAGTGGTGATCATAGTAGTGATGATAACATTTATGCTAGTGGTGATCACAGTAGTGATGATAACATTTATGATAGTGGTGACCACAGTAGTGATGATAACAATTATGAAAGTGGTGACCATAGTAGTGATGATAACATTTATGATAGCGGTGATCATATTAGTGACGATAACATTTATGATAGCGGTGATCATAGCGGTGATCATAGTAGTGACGATAACATTTATGATAGCGGTGATCATAGTAGTGATGATAACATTTATGATAGTGGTGACCACAGTAGTGATGATAACAATTATGAAAGTGGTGACCATAGTAGTGATGATAACATTTATGATAGCGGTGACTATAGTAGTGATGATAACATTTATGATAGCGGTGATCATAGTAGTGATGATAACATTTATGATAGCGGTGTTCATAGTAGTGATGATAACATTTATGATAGCGGTGATCATAGTAATGATGATAACATTTATGATAGTGGTGACCATAGTAGTGATGATAACATTTATGATAGCGGTAATCATAGTAATGACGATAACATTTATGATAGCGGTGATCATAGCGGTGATCATAGTAGTGACGATAACGTTTATGATAGCTGTGATCATAGTGGTGACGATAACATTTATGATAGCGGTGATCATAGTGGTGACAATAACCTTTCTAATAGCGGTGATCATATTAGTGACGATAACAATTATGATAGTGGTGATCATAGTGGTTACGATAACATTTATGATCGCGGTGATCATAGTAGTGACGATAACATTTATAATAGCGGTGATCATAGTGGTATTGATAACATTTATCATAGTGGTGATCAAAGTAGTGATGATAACATTTATGATAGTGGTGATCATGGCGGTGACGATAACATTTATGATAGCGGTGATCATAGTAGTGACGATAACATTTATGATAGTGGTGATCATAGTGGTGACGTTAGTAGTGAATTATGATAAGGATGATGATGATAATTCGTTTCAGAGATCTGGCTTACATTGGACGGTCAGAGTAACTCACAACGATTGCAAGAAAGAAGCTAATGAAAGTAGATCTCTATATACAACAATAAGAAAGAGATAA